CATACACACCTCAAAATAAGAGTACAGTCATGCATCGGTTAACGTCCGACCGAACAACGCCCGATCGCATATACGTCCGTGGCCCCCCCCCCAAAAGTGATGCCTGCTGGACCACCACTCCACGACCCCCTGACGAGACATGATGATCCTTCCCATACTGGTCAGATATTATTGTGCTCGTTAACCGAGGGACCACTGTAGACTCATATTTGGTTTCCACATTCTTCTACATACTATCTATTAATCCACAAAAATTAAAATGATGCTCGGGGAAAATGAGTATACAGTGGTCCTCGATTAACGAAAGGTTCAGTTAACGAAATAGCTCCCATAAGGGTTTTCAGTTCCATTAACAAAAAAAAAAACTTTGATTAACAAAAAGCCTTAGGAGAAAAATGCTTTGTTGTGCGCATCAGCCGATCGCTAGTCCACCAATACAGTAAACGGTTCTACGTTTACATTCGTTACCAGTGGAGTAAATATCAATAAAGTTGGTCTCTTGAATAATTTTGCATTTTTTATATTGAAATTATAGGTCATTCTAAAATTTAGCCATCCAAGATCTGTCTACAAAGTTTTTCAACTAATATTTTTGGCTCAATATATGTAACTTAATTAATTTATTTTTACTCATTTACATGCACACACTGTCCCAAGGGCAAAGCTGTACTGTACTTGTACTCAAAATAATGTACCTACAGTGATCCCTCGGTTAATGAATTACCTTCCATAAGATTCTTCACTTCGGTTAACGAATTCCTTACGAATTTTTCCCAGCATGTTTTTGCCTGCTCACCAGCAGTACAGCCAATACAGCAATCGGTTTTAGGGCTTAAATTCGTTTCCATTTGAGTAAATATCAAGAAAGTTATAGTATTCAATAATTGAAGTACAGGGAACTAGTTTTTAGCACGCCAAACAGCCACTCAACACACCCAAAATGGGTCAGTGTGCGTCCCTGCTAAGAGGAGGAAGCATCTTGCTTCAGACTCTCTTGAACAAACTATTTTTAAGTTTTTACAGTACAATTATTGGTCATTCTGAAGTTTATTTTACATATTGACAATATATAATGCAGTGCAGTGTTGATTTAAAGAAAATAATCTTGAATTACACCAAGTGAACTAAAATTTTATGGGTGAAATGGCGGCATGGGGTGACTTCTCTTCCACCCCAATGCCTTCTCTTCTCCCTTCTCCTCCACCCTCATTCTAATTCCCATCATCATCATCAAGCAGGAGGCTTTCACATGCACATCTCAAAATAATTGTACTTTACTGCATTTATTTTAGTTTGTATGTAATTTTCGGTGAGCTGGAACCAATTACCCCAAAACCCATTGAAACAATGGTTTCGGTAAACGAATTTTTCGGTTAACGAGCAACCTTCTGGAACGAATTGTGCTCGTTATCCGAGGGACCACTGTACTAAATGATTACTAAGATTTTTGTCTAGTGCAAACTAGAGCTTGTTTATATTCAAATTAATCATTATCTTATAAGAATTCCAGCAATGTAAATTATATTCTCCCCGGTCACTTCTGTGACATTTTATAAGCAAAAAACAAACACTCAACCTAAAGGACATAAACAAACAAATAAATACTTCACTAGACCTTCAGCCCAACTGTCAAACAGACTAAAGTTAGGAGAATATAATTTGCATTGCTAGAATCCTTGCAAGACAGCGAATAATTTGAATATAAACGTCATATATTTTGACGAGATAAAAATTAACCACCTGTATCACATTACAGTAGTGATTTAAGAGTTCTTGTGTATATGTATGTACAAACAGTGGTCCCTCGGTTAACGAGCACAATCCGTTCCAGCAGGTTGCTCGTTAACCGAAACCATTGTTTCAATGGGTTTTTGGGTAATTGGTTCCAGCTCACCAAAAATTGCCTAAATTCAACAAAAATGGGAGAAAAGTTCACTTACTTTGAGTTGTGTATGTAGAAGGCTCCTGGATGATGATGATGTGCATTTGAAGTGGGAGGTGGAGGAGGAGAAGGGAGAAGAGAAGAGAAGGAAGTGGAGGAGAAGCATTTTACTGCTTCTTGGAAGGTGAGTCACCTTCCAAGAAAATGTCAGGAACCTTTGGACTGACAGATTCTCCAGCAGGAACATCCTCTCTCCTCCTTGAAGTGGAAAGCTGAGGGATAGCATCTTGTTCCCTCTGCCTTTTACTGAAGAAAGTGTCAATTGTGGTCTGTGGGGCATCTGTCCTCCTCACCATTAACTTATGTTTAAAGAAGGAGACCACTGAGTCCTCAACATGACACAAGGTAAGTTCAGTTTTTTCCACTTCTGGGTACTTTGAAGCCAGTTCCCTGAACTTCTCCCAGTAGTAAATCACATCTTTCAACTGTTTAGCTGACATATGGTCATCACTTTCAATTTCCTCCTCACCACTGTCAGCTTCTACCTGTAACATCTCATCCAGTTGCTTCAAGTCATCAGGAGTAAGTTCCTCCTCATGAGACATCACAAGCTCTTCCACATCCTCCTCCTCCACTTCAAAGCCCAATGACTGACCAATGGACACAATCTCCTGGTCCAACTCTGTTTCTTCCTCAAATCCCTCAAAATCATGGACTACTGATGGCCACAGTGTTTTCCATGAAGAATTGAGGGATCTGGTGGAGACTTCTTGCCATGATGACACAATCAATTTTACAGCCTCCAGGATGTTGAATCGTGTCTTCCAGAAATGTTTCAGTGTTAGTTCAGGATCATTGGAAGTTGCCTGATGACACCTCCTAAACATTTTCTTCATGTACAACTTCTTGAAGTTGCTGATTACATTCTGGTCCATTGGCTGTATGATTGATGTAGTGTTTGGAGGCAAAAAAAAAACACTTTCACAAAGTCAAATTGATACTCCAAATTTCTGGCAAGGTCAGAGTCATGACCAGGAGCATTATCCATGAGGAGAAGAGCCTTTAAAGGGAGTTTATTGGTGGTTAGGTAGCTCTTGACAGAAGGGCCAAACACATCAACAGCCCATTCATTAAAGAGCTATCTTGTCACCCATGCCTTACGGCTGGACTTTTAATAAACTCCAAGCTTTGTTCTTACCACTTTCTGTTGCTTGAACACCCTGGGGTTTTCAGAGTGGTAGACAAGCATAGGCTTCAGTCAGAAATCCCCTGAAACATTGGCACCAAGCAATAGAGTGAGACGGTCTTTCATGGGTTTATGCCCAGGTAAAGAGGCTTCATCTCTGGTGATGAATGTTCTTTTGGGCATCTTTTTCCAGAACAGCCCAGTTTCGTCCACATTGAACACTTGCTGTGGAAGATGATTTTCTTCTGCCATCAGTTTTTTAAATTCATCTAAAAACTTTGCCGCTCCTTCTTTATCAGCACTAGCAGCTTCACCATGCCTAACAACACTGAAAATGTCACTTCTTTTCTTAAATTTTTCGAACCAGCCTTTGCTGGCCCGAAAATCTTCAAATTCTGTGCCTGAAGAACCAGGTTGATCTGCCTTTAAATGTTCGTAAATCTCCCTGGCTCTTTCACAAATGAATTCAGTAGAAACTGAATCACCTTTCATCTGTTTTTCCCTAATCCAGATGATAAGTAACCTCTCAGTTTCTGCGATTTGGGATCTACTTTTAAACACTCTGGTAGATTTCTCTCTCACTTTCACTTCTTTAAATTTGTCTTTCTGTGCAAGAATTGTCGACACAGTTGATATCGACATGCCATATTCTTTGCATAGCGCATTTGTTCTAATGCCTTGTTCATGTTTTTTTTATGATTTCCTGCTTGGTTTGCATTGAAATAGCTTTTCTTGATCTCTTAGGCCCCATGCTGGATTCAAACAATGTCAACACGTGCTTTTCAAAGTTAAACTTGTTGTAAATAAAGAATATTTTCTTTAAAATAACACTGCACTGCGCTATATATTGTCAATATGTAAAATATATTTCAAAATGACCAATAATTTGCTTGGAAACAGAAAAAAACCGTTTAGTTGAAGAGAGTCTCAAGCAAGATGTTACCTCCAGTGAAAACAGAGAGACTAACGCCTGTTTGCTGTGTTAAGAGGCTGGATGCCGCGCATTAAACTAGTCACTTTACCTTCAATTATGTTCAATAATTGTTAAAATGACTAAAAAAAATTGAATATTAAACTTTTAAAATTATTGAATAGTATAAACTTCTTGATATATACTAAAATAGTAAGGAATTTAAGCCCTAGAGCCGATTTATGTATCGGCGGACTAATATTACAGCTGGTGGACCGGTCAGTGCAAGCGAAAACATGTTGAGGGCGGCTCATAAGAAACTCGTTAACCGAATTTAAGAATCTTATGGGAGGCAGCTCGTTAACCGAAATCTCGTTAACCGAGGCACTCGTTAACCGAGGGACCACTGTATATATAAATAGTGATTTAAGGGCAATTTAGGGGATTCTTAGGAGTGTTTCTGACTTTATGCATGTTTTGGCTTTACTTTGTATGTACTTTTTCTGTGAGTTGGAACCAATCACCCAATATCCCATTGAAATAATAGATTCAGTTAACAAACAAATCTGTGGAACCAATTGTGTTCGTTAATCGCGAGACCACTATACATGTTTGCTGTGCGCTGGGAGGTTGGTTGATCAGCGAATCACTCTACAACAGTAATCAGGTTAAACATGTCCTGGGAGGTGAATCACACAGCACCTGATACAAATTCCCTTGGTATTTACCTTTCAAAATATTAGCTTGCCCCTGGGCAAGTACGGGAACATGGTCATGAAAAATCACTTACCTGGCCACTGCTAATCTGCGCATCTGATATAACCGCCGAGTTAGAGAGTCACTAACATTTCTGATAATCATTCTTAATTAGGCGAGCCCCCCCCCCACCCAAATTTTTTTTTAAAAAATGACAAGACTACGATACTGGTTATGTATTGAAGTGTAATGTAAGTAAACCCGTTGAACAAAAAACAGTAAAACTTCCCATGCATCTCATTATTACAAGGACAATAAATACTAACCATAAGTAACATGAAACAGCAGCTTGTCAGTATTAATGAAGAAATCCTGAGCTACACAGTTGTAATCTTCCTTCCACCTGCTGTATTATTGAGAGATCTTGAGCTACACAGTTGTAATCTTCCTTCCACCAGCTGTATTAATGAAGAAATCCTGAGCTACACAGTTGTAATCTTCCTTCCACCTGCTGTATTATTGAGAGATCTTGAGCTACACAGTTGTAATCTTCCTTCCACCAGCTGTAATGAAAATAAACACTTTACTGTACTATTTTCAACAACAAACATATTATGTACATAAAAAACTAACCGCTCAGCTCTCATAATCAATGCACATATGGCACCACAACCTAGTTCTGGATTGACCTAGGGACCCAGCAGCACAGACTAGTCTGAATTGAGTTATGACCAAAGTCACCTTGCTCATCACACTCAACTAAGCTGGACACAAGATCCTTCCAACCAAGACCGAGAGATTGTCTCCAACTGTTAGACCTTAACACATGTCCTAGACTTGCCCTCAGTCAGGGTACCTAAGGATTTCTGGTGTTCTGCCCCTCCTCTCGAAGGTTGCCCGCCTGGAGCATTACTGTCCCTTCTCTCAGACCTTCCCAGGGGTGACGGGAAACAATAATCCTGTGCTAACCCTTAGAGCAAGCTTGTGCTGCCTAGTCACCCAAGATCACCATAAACTAGGCCAGCCTTCGCACTGGATTTTGTCATCATAGCTCTAATTATTACAGCCATTCTCAGCTTTATAGCAGGAAGGCAAATCTTGAAAAAGAAATTAATATCTAATACTTGCCTTCCCTTCACTCCTGTCATATTTCAGTACTGCAGTGTCTACATCTATACCCAAACGGTGCCAATCCAATAAGTCTGTTGAATAAAACAAAGTTCTATTAGAAGCAATACACAGTACAACATATGAATATTATTTAGTGCAACAGCATTCTTACAATTATGGGGCAGCACCATCCAAATGAGAGAGATACTTTCCTTCATTTTCATTATTGTTTACTTTTAAGGCCTCTTTGGCTTCTGAAATCCATCTAGAAATATAAGACCAGTGATAAATCTATTTTAATTAGCTGAATGGTGGCACTCACCATTAACCAAAAATGGTAAAGCTATATCTGTTACAAGAAATGACAGAAAATTCAGTTTCCTCTTAATCCAATATGAAAAAATACATGTAGGTAGAGTACTGGAATACACCCTGTCTTGAAGCATCATCATAAGCTCTTTGGACAGATAATTTTTTTTTTAGATAAAACTACATTATGCATCAGGAAGTAGTGTCATTATGGGGTCAGATCAACAGAGCAGTTATCATTCCTCTGTAAATTTACACATACAATTTGTTGGAGCTAGAAGTCAATGAGGAGTCTTGAGTAAGAGCAATAATGAAACAACTTTTAAATTTGTGTTTAATGAAATGGATGAATGAGTCTTGTTGGTAAAGGTTCAAAAAAGTTTGATGTGGTTGTTTTTGCTGACAAGATGTGTATGAAATTTATAAAGAAATGACCAAGATAATATGGTGAGAAGTAAATGAGGTAAAGGAGGGGGCCAAAACAAATAAGGAGCAAGTTAGAGAATGGTTCTGTAAAGTGTGTGTATAGCTACATGAGAAAAGGAATACAAAATAGGAAAGAAGAAAAGGTGGTGTTTTCATAATTTACTTTTGATGTAATGAAGAAAGTGTAATGATGGAAGAGCAGTTATCAATCAGATCCCCAAGAAAGGATCTATCATATTTATAGTACAGTATTACCGCTCTATATTGAACTTTAATAAACCCAACCGCCCCTCAGGTTTCAGTAGTACCCGTCTATTCAGAACAAATTTGCTATACAGACATCCTTCGCTAATGTTCATTCACTTAGCAATATAAAATTTGGCAGGGGATATTTGACCACTGTCTGGCGGAGTAACCACTGGTTATATTTGACTGTTATACGGTCGAATAGCCATTGGCTATTGTACAGGAATACCTCGCTATTCACACACACACCCTCAGCCTTCACAGGGTAAGGACGTGTGTAGTCGGCGCTGCCCACTAACGCGGCCGTGATCTCTTGATCATGGAGACAGCTGCCAGCTCGGTCTGTTGGGCCCTCCCCTCCCCCGTCTCCTTCCCATCTGGATTTATCAACAACTTCACATCAACAGTACAGTGCAAAGATTGACGATCAACCCAGAAGTGATATACAAAAGTGGCAATTTCAACTCGAAGGAAAAGCACAAAAACACAGCAATACTGATTGTGGCTGGATCTGACCTAATCTGACCTGACCTTAAGGCTTCACCTGACCTAACCTGAAGGATGAAGCACACCTGCATTGCCCCAAGCTACTGTCCTGGCCACGTGGCCACACACCTGCCCAACCGCATCCAGCCCATACGAGCACGAACTGATTGCTACAAGAACAGACCAGTCCCAACCATTGTAAAAATTATCAACACTTAATTATTATATATCATATTTGTATCACTTACTGTATGTAACTTGTACATCATTTGTAAATCAAGAGACCCATTCCCCAATTATGCAATTGTATATTTTCAGCCTTGCGGCTGCCATGCTCTTTCAATAAGCCGTTAATTATTATTATTACATCATTCACATACACTCACATCATTCACACACACTCACATCATTCACACACACACTCACATCATACACATGCACACACATCATTCACACACACACACTCACATCATACACATGCACACACATCATTCACACACACACACACACACTCACATCATACACATGCACACACATCATTCACACACACACACATCATTCACACACACACATCATTCACACACACACACACACTCACATCATCTACACACACACACACACACACTACATCATTCACACACACACACACTCACATCATTCACACACACATCATCACACACACACACACTCACATCATTCACACACACACACTCACTCATTCACACACACACTCACATCATACACATGCATACACTCACATCATCCACATGCCACACACATACACATGCATACTCACATCATTCACACACACACCACATCATCACACACACCCACATCATTCACACACACACACACCTCACATCATTCACACACACTCACATCATTCACACACACACTCACGCTCACACACTACATCATTCACACACACTACATCATTCATACACACACACACATCATGGCTCACACACACACACACATCATCATTCACACACACACTCACATCATTCACACACACACCCACATCATTCACACATCACATTCACACACACACTGTCCACACACACTCACATCATTCACACACACACACACACTCACTCACATCATACACACACACACTCACATCATTCACACACATCATTCACACACTCACATCATTCACACACACACACACACACACTCACATCATTCACACACACACTCACAGCATAATGTATAGTCTAATGGTAGACACTGGTGCCATATGGCATCACAAACATTGTGACCAAGTCCCAGGTTGGTAATCTGACTTTCTGCCTCATTTACACACAATTGCAGGGTCTCAATTGTTTCTCTTACTTTGACAACACAACATACATATATTGTTTCTCACTATTAATCTTGTTATTATTTTTTTTTACCTATTTATGGTTCTTTATAATTATTATTATTATTATTATTATTATATTTATTATTTTTTATTAATTTTCATTATTACTATTATTTCTCTCCCAGGCCCTGATGTGGGTCATTGACCTGTGCCCTAGTGGGCTAATCCCGGAAAAAAAAAATAGTAATTAACTTAGAACATTTGAGTGCAGGTTTGCCCTAGAACAATTATTTCTTTAACTATTTTCACAATATGTATCTAGGATGGTGTGTGCATGTAAATGAGTAAAAATAAATTAAGAAAGTTGTATATATATATATATATATATATACAGTAGAACGTCGATATAACACGAGATACATTCCAAGAGAGGTCGCTTTAAACTGAATTCGCACTAAATCGAAGTGTTGTTTCAATGGAATAATAGAGTTTGGTACTTGAGAGAAACACAAAATACTAAAAAGACTGAGTCTACCCAGATGCACCTCAGCCCATTTCCTAGAATAAACAAAACATTGTTATTTATAGTATTATGTTAAAACAAACACTCCTTAATCAACACAGCTAAAATTATGGGACATGAAATGGTCTGTTTACTTGGGATCAGATAATGGGAAGATGGAGGAGGGGGGTGATGTTTGACAGTTGAGGCCAAGGTCTAGTGCTTATTTATCTGTCCTTAAGAGTGACTAAGTTTTTCTCTTATAAAATGCACTGAACTGACATGTTCTAATTAATTTTATTACAAAGGGCTAAAAATTTTATCTCTTGTGCAAAATATATGACGTTTATATTCAAATTATTCGCTGTCTTCCAAGGATTCTAGCACTGCAAATTATATTCTCCTAACTTTAGTCTGTGATATTATATAAAACAAGCTTAAAGCCTAAAATCACCAAACCCTGGCTGGGAAGATGACAGGGAGGGGAGGGGTGACAGTGACACATTTGACAGTTGGCACTGAAGGTCTAGTGAAGTATTTATTTGTTTATTTATGTCCTTTAGATTGAGTGTTTGTTTTTTTGTTTATAAAATGCCACAGAAATGACCAGGTAGAATATAATTTACATTGCTGGAATTCTTATAAGATAGTGATTATTATGAATATAATCAAGCTATAGTTTCCACTAGAAAATTAATTTAGTAATCATTTAGTACATGTACAGTACAGCTTTGACCTGAGGACAGTGTAGTGTGCCCAGAGAAACATTAGGTGCGAAATTTTAAAATATGATGCGCCAGATTGACTCGCACAAAATAGGAAAGATTCGCTTTAAATTAAAAAAATTGTCCTTAATTGTGGGTGTCGCTTTAAATAAATAATCTTAAAATGAATTGCTTTAAATCGAAATTCTATTGTACTGTATCTTCCCGAAAATACGAGTTGTAAAACAACCACAACACCTCACAGCTTGGCCCAGTAGCCTGGTGGTTAAAGTGACGAGTCTAACTTGGCTACAGTGCCACGATATATCGCTATTAAGCATTATTATATCAGTAAACACTAATAACAAGAGTAAATCCAGTGGAATATTTCAGGGAGGGAGGAGAGTTAAGTGCAGACAAAGCGTTAACTCGCAGTCACATGACTCACTCCTCTTACCAGCACACGTTGCCAGG